TGTTTCTGTATTCTCATACACTTGACTAAAATACTCGTCAGAGAGAATCCAATTGACTTGGCCCCCAAAAAATATTTGAACCTGAAGCCACAGACCTCTCGATTCTCTTGACGGTCGATATTCGGCAGAAGTTGAAACAACAGGAATGAAACTTCACATGCACCTATATATTTTTTTTAAAAAAATATAGTTTTTGTGTGCTTCCCTTTTTAGGGTACTTTTTTTTGAAAATGCAGAGTTACTGATTGTTATAAAAGGTGGTAAATATAATTACCACCGGACTTTAAGGGTTAAGGAATGTAGGAGCAAAAACCAAAAGGGAGACATTTGAAGAAAACTATAAATTAGAAAGAATATGAAGATAAAGGCGAGATAAATAATAGGATATAAATGGTAAGGACGCTATTAAAAACGAGAAAAGAGGATTTCAAATAGGTCTTTTAAACGAGAAAGTGAAAGGAGAACATCATGCAGGGAGCCCGATACCAAGATATGAACAACAGAGTAGGAAAGACGTCACACAGAAGGAGAAGAAGGAATAGGAGGGGGTTCGTTGTTAGGCGACTCAAAGTGGAATCGTCTTAACAAGGAGAAGGAGAAGAAGAATAAGAAGATGTATATTTAATAAAATTGATCAACAGTAACGGGGCACTTCAAGGAACAACCAGTGAATTATTCTTTTTTATCATTAAATCCTGCGCCAGAAACCAAACACTCTGGAACTTTTTTTTTGTTCTTACACGTCCTAACGTAATGAGCAAAGTTCCAAGTTACTCCACCCTCGTGTAGAGGGCCATTTGTTTTTTGTAGTTGCAGGAGAAGAAACTTTTGTAGCGTCTTCAGATTCGAGTTACCAGTGAAAGCAAAAATATCCACAAATTCGGGGTCACACAAGACTTTTCACTTAAGAAGAAAAAACATTCTGATGCTCACGGAATTGATATGGAAAATTTTTCATCCCAAACCGTGGAGTAGTGGTGCTTCACTTTACATGGCAAATAAAGCCTTTAGTACAGATTTCCAGTATTGCACTAAACGTTGTCATAGTAACCTACAATTTTCGGACGTCGTAGCGACGCATGGGGATGTGGGAAATGTGTACACAATTTTAGTCGAGAAACAGACGGAGAAACCGTTCGGGAGGATAACGTTAATAACAATTAGCGCGTGAGGATTTGGAGTGGGTGGAAGTGGCTTAAGATGGGAACCAGTAGCGGGCTCTTGACGGAGGCAGTATGACCTCTGAAACGTCGGTTAACATCAACCAGACTACACAGCGCAACAACCAAGAAGACAGAAATCCTCATACTCATCGCCCTGATGACGGAGGCAGTATGCCCTCTGAAACGTCGGTTGACATCGACCAGACTACACTGCGCAACAACCCAGAAGACAGAAATCTTCATCGCCCTGATGACGGAGGCAGTATGCCCTCTGAAACGTCGGTTGACATCGACCAGACTACACTGCGCAACAACCCAGAAGACAGAAATCTTCATCGCCCTGATGACGGAGGCAGTATGCCCTCTGAAACGTCGGTTGACATCGACCAGACTACACTGCGCAACAACCCAGAAGACAGAAATCTTCATCGCCCTGATGACGGAGGCAGTATGCCCTCTGAAACGTCGGTTGACATCGACCAGACTACACTGCGCAACAACCCAGAAGACAGAAATCTTCATCGCCCTGATGACGGAGGCAGTATGCCCTCTGAAACGTCGGTTGACATCGACCAGACTACACTGCGCAACAACCCAGAAGACAGAAATCTTCATCGCCCTGATGACGGAGGCAGTATGCCCTCTGAAACGTCGGTTGACATCGACCAGACTACACTGCGCAACAACCCAGAAGACAGAAATCTTCATCGCCCTGATGACGGAGGCAGTATGCCCTCTGAAACGTCGGTTGACATCGACCAGACTACACTGCGCAACAACCCAGAAGACAGAAATCTTCATCGCCCTGATGACGGAGGCAGTATGCCCTCTGAAACGTCGGTTGACATCGACCAGACTACACTGCGCAACAACCCAGAAGACAGAAATCTTCATCGCCCTGATGACGGAGGCAGTATGCCCTCTGAAACGTCGGTTGACATCGACCAGACTACACTGCGCAACAACCCAGAAGACAGAAATCTTCATCGCCCTGATGACGGAGGCAGTATGCCCTCTGAAACGTTGGTTAACATCGACCAGACTACACAGCACAACCCAGAAGACGGAAATCTTCACATTAGTGAACCTTTGGGATCCATAAAAGGCGTAGAATATATTGCCCGCGCATTTTACCTCCTACACTAAAGGTTTAAAATGAAGTTTTCATGTTGGTGATTTCAAGAGTTTAATCTCGATTTGTATCGGTCTCTGGCCTCAGATCGAACTCTATATCGATTTAAAAAAAAATCATCGTATAGTACATGATACGAAAATAAATTATTTGGTGAAAACTAACACAATGGCACCTTGGAGTAGAGTCCTTTTTGAGAATCTCATAGTCACTCATCCAGTCTATGATTCCCGAAAGTGTTGCTTGTTGGGATTGAAGTCAATTTGTAACCCCAGTTAGCTTGAAGTTGATACGTAGACACGAAATGTTTACTGCGGCTGAGAGAATGAGTGGCGTATTTGAGTTTCAGTGAATGTCGTATATCTTGTTTTCCCTCAAAAGACAGAAAAAATTCAATACGGTTCTCAGCAAACTGTCACTTCGTCGCTGGTCTGAACGAGTTGCTTTAAACTTCAGAGAAGGGTTCTACTTGGTCCTCTGACCCTGACAGCATCAGTATGAGCTACCTGAATACAGGAAACGTAATTGATACTTGTGTGATGGGACACAATAGCCCTTCAGACTCTAGTGTTCCAGGCAGCCAGCCACTCCCAGCCTACCTCTCCATTCGACTAGCAGAACTCGACATTCTATTCCTCCTTCTGGTTTATTTTTGTTCCATCAATACTTTATGTTTTGTCCGAACGATGTTGTTTTGGCTGGTTGTGGAATATTAATGAACGACGAAAAGTCCCAGGTATTCTACAGCATGATCCATTTAGAGCGTAACCCCAAACTACACCAGTATTTAAAGTCCTAAAATAAACCTGTAGTATCAAACAGTCGGTGATCAGAAGTGTTCCAACAAGACTGTCCTGTGAGGTTTGTCTAGACGTTAACTGGGTTTGGGCTGTAATTATCAGGTCAGTACAAATTACATTTGACTCGGGCCCCTCACACCGATCACCGATGACAACATTCTGAGTGTAGTCATCTAGAATGATCATAGCAGAACTCAACATATTTTGCAACGTTGCATTAAATAATTCTCATTCTTCTTCCACATCAGAAATATGGTCTCCATTTCGGAATTATCAGTTGTAGAAAATTATAAAGTATGAAAGTATTCCGATTTCCATTGGCGTGACATTCATACTGATTTTCATAAAAATAGGTTATTTGGTTTGAAAGTTGTTGGAACATATTTGCAGAGTTTATGTTGTCACCAACTCGTCCTTCCTTACAAAATAAGAGAAACACAGAAATATTGTTGTTATATCAAGTATCTTTTATTTTATTATATTTCACAGTGCTGTACTACATCCCAGTACTGCTGGACGTACCTTAGCATCTTGGAAGGTACAGAAATTATCAGACATCTGTACTCCATAATTTATAAAACTGATAATTACAGGTATGAGATGTGAATACTTATAATTATTTGTGCAGGCCGATAACCATGGGCTGGAAACAGGTCCAGATTTGGATGAGGAGATGGAGAAAGTGTTTGCGATGGCAGACGACGATCACTTTGATGTTACAAGATTTGCAGCATCGCCCGACTCGAACACCAGCAAACGCAGCTTCAATGAAAATGATTATAGCTGTAAGTAAAATATCTGAGAATGGACTATAAAACATTAATTCTTCACCTTTATTATCAGGAGATAAATTCTGCATCAGTGTAATTCAGAAATGACAAATTTGAATTCATTAGATATTTCGGATTAAGGTTTGTTTTCAGACTCTCAAATTAATGTACTTAATTTTTAATCATCCTGTATTCACCACATGTGGTACAGTCAGTATGTCTGTATTACATTCGTTTGTTAGTGTAGAGTGTCATTCCACTGAGCTATGCACCACATTGACCCGTGTTATCGACATGTAATTTAAGTGCCTGTCTACATTACATCAATTGTTCTTTGCTGGAGCAATCTGATTTCAGCTTCTCACAGACCATTCATACATTCAGCATGAGTGTAGTGAACTCAGGTATTAGATATTTATATTTGTAAAAGATTGTACCAAGTTCTGTTGCTTGTATACTTTACAGGTGTCGTATCTCAATTGATTGAAATACGTGATTATATAAGTACGTAAAACAGGAGTATAATTGTATCTTAATTGATTGAAATACGTGATAATATAAGTACGTAAAACAGGAGTATAATATGTTGTGAAGTTTTGAACAATATTTCCAGAAACAAAAGTGTTGGTATTCGGATGTGTCGAAGAAGTGATGTGTTCTAAGTGAACAAGTGTTAAAATTAAAAAAAAGGGGGGAATACATGATTTTTATAAAAGTGAGCAACAGAAATTAATGCAATATAAATAATATAATTTTGGAAAGTTTTAGATAATTTTCATGTGTGTTTTATGATGATGCATAGGGACAGAAAAAAGATTGGAACAGAAATACAATTTAGGATGACTTTAAATTCACAAAACACTGATGTCGTCCACCACTAGCACATGTGCCAGTACACAAACAGAGCCAGTCTCTGAAACGTCACAGGGACACACACAAAAATTTACAGTCTGCCACAAGAATATAAAGATTAAACTATAGAAAACTACAATTTTACTTATTGTAAATATGTGTTCTCTCACATTAACAGAATGTAAAACTCAGGATTTTTAGATCAGGGTGTTGAGATGATAGAAAGTAACAGGAGGTTAAAATATTGGATTATGATGAAGTTCAATTCAATTCAATTTTAAATCTCTACACTCCCGGTCCATGAGGAAGAGAGGCGTCACCTCCCCGCGCGTGTCTGAGTCGGAGAGTATAGAAGGGGGAACTTCCATTGAAGTGAGTTCTCATATTTACTGCTGAAACCAATGATGTGACACCTAAGCATCTTTCACTTCAGTGATATTCTAGACATTTTTTGAGTAGGAAGCTGAGAGTTGATTTGTTATTTATATATTTTATTTACTGTTTATTAAACAATACTGTCAGTAGCTCAGACTACAGCGTCGAATTATCGGAGGATTAATGGATAATGAATTGGACAGGATGCATTGATGACCCAATTTAAGGAACTATCCTAATTTTTATGGACTGTGGAAAACCACAAAATTTCAGTCAGAATTTGTGATCTCCAGGCATAGATTTGAGCCCAGGACCTCCCAAATACAGGGCAGGAGTGCTAACCTCTCAGCCACAATTTTCAGATTGTTAATTGTGCTTATTTCCCATATTTAAAATTTTAAACATGCATCATTTTTAATTAATGCAAGTGCTCAAAAAATGTGCTTTGGAAAGAATAAGGCAATGAAATCTATATCCTGAAATCAGAATGTAGCGGTTGTTTTAGCACCACCGGTAACCTGCGTTTCTTATGTCACATTAATCGCAACTCTTCGAAGAAATCAATTCTTCCCAGTCTCTGAATAGTTAAGTGTTGTCGCATGTTTCAGGCAAATGAGTCCAGGAAACTGTCACAGACTGGAACTGACTCTGACACTGGCTGGAGCCCTCCACCCATGCCTCTTCATCCCATAATCAATGAAGACAACTCGCTCAGGTTTGTTGAAGTGGCGGATTGGCAGATATAAGACAAGTAGGATTTGAGGTTTTCATGACAGTGAGTCTGAAGATGGAGCCGACACTTTTTTAACGCTGCTCATGTTTACAGTTTAGAACCTGCTGGCAGTGGATCTCCTGAGGAAGAAGAAAAGGAACCTGTTTTTAGTAGCGAATCTGAAGCCCAGGTTTCTGAAAGGGCAGCTGCTTGTTCTGAGAGTCCTGTGTTTGGTTCACCATCTGATGCATCTAGAAGAGTTCAATTTCAGATTGGTGTGTCCTTTGACGTATTGCTTTATCTGTATACTTACTGTCTTGATCTGCACAATAATTAATCTTACAGACAAATTTAATACCTCAGACAGTTACAATAGATTTCATACTTTTGTTTATGACAGATACAAGCAAACTTGGAAGTTAAGACTGTAAAGAACAGATATTTCCACACAATGACATAGTTCAAGAAAATAGTAATAGATTTACAGTCTAACTTTAACTGCTCCATTAGGTCTAAGAGTCAGAACAGTTTTTTATAAAATGAATATCTGTTTGTAATATGCAAATAAATTAAAAGACAAGTTTAATTAATACATTTTTTATTTTTGGAACACATCTATAAGAATGCCTTACTTTACAAGGT